GGAAACGAGAGAAGGGGAGAAGGAGGGAAAGAGGGACAGAAAGAGAGAAAGAAAGAAAGAACGAAAGAAAGAAAGAAAGAAAGAAAGAAAGAAAGAAAGAAAGTAAGTGTGCGTATTTAAGGCGACGCATCCCGCCCAGAGAAACGAGAGGACAAAGCCAATGCTCGAGGAAGAGGGCGTCGAATCCCGCAGAGGGGCCATGAGGAAGAGCACGATGAAGCAACGGTAGGGAACGAAGACGGCAAGCCAAACAGCGCGAGGGGACCGAGGACCACGAACAAATAGGCAAACAAGAAGAGGACGACGACGAAAAAGGGCAAACGACGCGGCAGAGAAGAAGCCATCCCTAAACGGGCCAAGAAGAAGAACAGCAACACGCAGAAGACGGAAGGCCGGAAGAAGGAACGGGAGGAAGGAGAAGCCATCCCTAAACGGGCGAAGAGCAAGACGACGGACACGCGGACGACGAAGGCGAGGATGGAGGGTGAGACGTCACTATGGTCTGACCGCTGTCTTCCCTTTAGTGAAACCTCGTTCCTGGTTAAATGTGAAATTCCGCTGTTCTATGATCAGCACGTTCAGGTCAAATTTTCCGACAGAGCCGGCCCGGGGTCACACAATGGGTACACCCGAGGATTCCCCACGAATGGGGTGTACACACTTAAACTCCAAATGGAGAGTGCTCATCTTTCGAGTACAACTGATGAGTCTCGAGTACAACTGATGAGTCTCGAGTAAGATAAGTTTCGGCTCACGATCTCACGATGCACTCGGCTTCCCTCTAGTGACGAAAGCGTTACAAGGTCCAACATGAAGCACACACCGCGAGAGAAAGAAGAGGGCCAAATGGACTTTGCAACACAGATCAGCAGGTACACGGATTGGCGTCCCAATCCGCTTCACGGAGGTTCCACAGCCGTCTTCGTTGGCAGTAGGACTGTGGTCTCCCTACTGCCCCCTGCAGCAACGGAAAAAGGTTTTGGTGGCAGGGTATTCTGCCACTCCGCACACACACACACACACACACACACACACACACACACACACACACACACACCACACACCACACACACACACACCACACACACCACACACACCACACACCACACACCACACCACACACACCACACACACCACACACACCACACACAACACACACACACACACACACACAACACACACACACACACACACACACAACACACACACAACACACACAACACACACAACACACACAACACACACAACACACACAACACACACAACACACACAACACACACAACACACACAACACACACAACACACACAACACACACACACACCACACACACACACACAACACACACACAAACAAACACAAACAAACAAACACAAACAGACAGACACAGGCACAATAAAAAACCGGGCGAGCAAGAATCACTCAATCAATCAAGCCAATGAATCAACCGACCAATGAAGCAATGGATGAATGAATGAATGAATGAATAAATGAAAGAAAGAAAGAACGAAAGAAAGAAAGAAAGAAAGAAAGAATGAATGAATGAAATCAATCAAATCCAATCCAATCCAATCCAATCCAATCCAATCCAATCCAATCCAAGCAATCAAATCAGATCACTCACTCACTCAATCAGCACTTCAGTATTGGTTTGAGATCAATCGAACGATCAACCATCCAAGCAATCCAACAAACAAACAAAATCAAACAAACAAACCCCCACCCACACACACACACACACACGCACAAACAAACAAACAAACAAACAACCAGGCAGGGAGGCAGACAAACAAACAAGTAGACAAACAGACAAACAGACAGCAAACAAACAGACAGACAGGCAGGCAGGCAGGCAAACAAACAGGCAGGCAGGCAAACAAACAAACAAAAAACAAACAAACATGCCAAACAAACATGCCAAAGAAGCAAGCAAACAAAACAAACAACCACATAAGCAGGAAATCTCAGCTAGAGCTTCACCATCTCCTCTCTAATTGTGTCGCAAAGAGGATCCACGCGCATAGATCCGTCTGCTGACCAACAAGGGCCTCTGCCTGGTGCAGCACACCCCTAAGCAGCACAAAGCATCATGAGGCTAATCCTCTGGACGGGACATAGCGTGCCTGCCCGGAAAGCAGTCCCTAGAGATATGTTGCAAGGAGCTGCCTCCATGCCTCCGATTTAGACAACAACCACAAGGCAAATATATAATTTGGCCAACCCCCTCCTGACGGTCCACTTTGAGCAGCTTGGCAGCCAGCAGCCTCACGCCGTCCCGGTCCAGCGCCTTTCTCACCAGTTCTGCGGCTTCCGGCTCCTCTTTGGGCATGACCCTGCCCGAAGGGCTGATGATGGTGACCTGGCATCTCGACATGAAGCCAAAATTATTTCTTTTCACCCAATTTAGAAAGCGGATTCATGGCGCTGTTCAAAAACAAGGCCCATTCAGCATCCTTGGTGCCTCCTTGGTGCCCTCAAGGGGTCTAACTTTAGCAGGCTGGGAAAATTTCTGAAAACATACGTCTTCCGACAAAAGACGACTTGATTTTAACCAGCAAGCTCACGAGCAGTTTCTGACTGTCATAGCTCTGGAAACAATCAAAACCGTGGGCTGTGCTACGAGGCAGGTGTGGCTGGAAAAATGGTCATAGAGGGGTTTCGCCCTTGTCCCTTTAACACCAGGCTTCCAGTGATTATGGGGAAAAAGTGTCGTGTTTTGGTGGCCACATTTGAAGATGAAACCCTCTACTCCAAACAACTTGCTTCGCCCGCCTGGCTGCCCAGGCGCCGCATGGCCTGCGCGATCTCCAGGCCGATGACACCAGCCCCCAGCACCACCAGCCGCGGCGGCAAGTGCCGTAAGTTCCAGAGGTTGGAGTTGGTCAGGTGGGGGATGCCCTGGGATTGAACACTCTTGGGGTCAACATGTTTGTTCATCTCAACTAACCAAATCGATACCAAACAACTTTCTCGCGCGCTCCGACGGTTGCGGTTGCCTCCAGCTCCTTTGGCACTAGCGCGCCGGCGCCAGTGCCAAGGATACACTTCCGGAAGCCCAGCTCCGTGCCGTCTGCCAGCGTCACCTGGCGCTTTCCCATGAACCGGGCCGCGCCGGAGTAAACCTCCACCCCCAAGTCTTCGGAATACCTGACCGATGGGGCCCTGGGCCCAATTCGAAATAAAACAAAAACGAGCAAAACACATAAGACAACAACTACCAGCTTTGAGGTACAGTTTTAGACACCTGTTTGGTTGAAGAAAACTATTCTTCGGGGCCTTGCTTTTAGACATGCCCACCTCCGCACTGAGTCGTGCTCCGAGATCTCAGCGCGGATTCGCCGCATGCGTGACATGACGGCCTCAAGCAAAAGCCGCAGAACTAGGTCTTGCTTTACGTGTACGTTTTAGAAAAAAATCTATGGTGGTGGCTACCGTTTCTTGAGAGAGACAGGGAAACCCCAAAGGGCAGGTGATCCCAACGCTGCCACTGGTCAACGGGAGCGATTTGTCAAAGAACGGTGCCGCGTCTCAGAGGGTCAAGTGCCCAACTTGCCAACGGTTTGCATGTACCTTTTGTGTGTATACACGTTTACGTAGATATAGTGTAAGTACACTGTTTCATAATATGCGTCCTCCATTGGATTTCAGAAACGACGCCATCTCACAAGACCAACTGTGGATTGGCAAATGTATTTACAACATGGCCAAATCCTACAGAATGGAGCATATTTTTGGGAATGAGTAATTTTGGGCCTCGAGGCTCGGAATGCGATGGGAAATCTGCCAAGCATTCCCGTTTTGTAGGGCAACTCCGGCCTAAAATATGACTGCGCAAAACGCATGGCTACAACAAGCTATGTAATGATGACCCTACAGCCATACGCGCTTCTTGATGCGGATCTGCATGGGTTTCGCTCCTCTGGCCAGCACACTACTCTCAGCCTCCACGCCATACTCACCCTGTCTCGAACACCTCTTCGTCAGCACTCTGCAATCACACAGCCGGCCAAGTCTTTTGCGGGAACGGCCACCGCTGTAAGCCTGCCGCAACTTCTCCTTGCAATCCTCGCAAGTACCCCTCGGCCCTCACCGCATCTGGCCACCCCGGAGCTTCCTCCGCTCCTTGTCCACCTGCATGTTGCCATGATGCTTTTCCTTGCCCATCGCAGTTCAATGGAGAACCTGGCAAGCCGTAGCATCTCTGGCGCATTTCCGCCGCCAGGTTGTTCTGGCTACCTCGGCATTGTTTGCACAGTGTGGTTCTCCACGCTTTCTCGCTAAGGGCATCGACTGGGTGAAAGTGGGCTTCAAGTCGCCCACCTCAAGGCGCAGGTCACGGCTGACGGCTGCCTGCGTGGCCACCTGCAACGATCAGACGATGACGTCGTGCGAGTGCGAATCGTTGCAGTTCGAGAGCGTATCCCTACCTCCTCTAACACACCATCTTGACGCCTTGGACGCAGGTTGACCAATCTCCTTCCTCATAAGGGTTCGAGCGCCTAACCGTGGGTGGGTAGATATGGTCAGATCCTTGCGCCTCTTTGTCCGGAACCGCGCCCGTGGAGGACAGCGGCATCTGGCTCTCCTTCAGCATCGCCTTGATGTCCGCGGTCATCATCTCTAACTTCCACGGTTGCGCAAAGCGCACACTACGTAGCTCTAGCGCTTGTCCCCGCCAACCTTCAGCTGATGACTCGGTTGCGTCGTCTATCCTTGGCCTGCTCCAACCGAAGCTTCTGGATCATTGTTCTTGCCCTTTCCTTGGCCGAACAGCTTGTAGCGCTGCCTCCCCTTTTTGCTGGGCACTGACCGCCTCGCACCTCCTTGTTCGTCGTGAGCGCCACGTTGATCTCATCTTCCTCATCCACATGTAGATCTCCTTCTTCCAAGAGAACGTACTCCTTGGAGGAAAACTCTCGTTAAATGCCCTTGAGATGCACCCTGCGCCTGGCTTGGAAGGGTATCGCCTGCCTTCGTCAACCAGCCCTCTCCATCCGGACCAAGTGGTCCTGAAAGTCCTTCTCCGCTTGCCTTCGGTGAGGCCTCCTGAGCTTTTTGAGCCTCTCAGCCATTGCACCGCCGGACCACCGCCGAGGGCTCCGCCAGCACACGAACTTTTTACGCGGATCTACGTTGGCTTCAGCCCCACAACACCTAATGCGCAGAGGGGTGGTCTGCTTGCAGATGACGATCCCAACGTGCCCTTGACACTCAGTCAATCGTTCCGTTTAGAAAACGTTTATACCCACCTCAAGGTCATTCTGTAGGGGAAACTCAAACGGGGCATCCATATGCGCCGCGTTGCCCATGCCAACCATGGGCATTGCTGAAACCAAAGCGCGCGCGCCTCAAAATCCACCGCCACCTCCGGCACTCGCACCCCGAGGTCGCCGCCCCGCAGGACAGGCCTGGCCACTGGGAATTGCATTCCAGCGTTCGTCGGGCCTGTGAAAAAAGTCCCCAAAGTGAGGTTTCCTATCAAACACGCCTGCCCCCCCGAGCCTGGCGGCCTCCCGGGCCGCGGCAATCAAGGCCTTGGAGGGGACACACCCGGTGTTGAGGCAGTCGCCACCCATGTAGTGCTGCTCCACCAGAGCCACCTCGAAAAAGAAACTATGTAGTCATCATGACTATTGGAGACACTTCGTTAGATACTAATTTCACATGACGATTGATGTCCATTCGGTGAATCACTAAGTGGTTGTACCCTTTGGGGAACAACAGTGGGGTTTATGCCCAGGAAGAAATTCTGACTGTAAAAACCAGAAGCGTCTTTCCTTACTGATACCTTCGGACCCATCCGCCGGACAACACAGCCATTCGCATTCGTATCGTTTCAAATCCGCCTTTCTTCCCAGCTGGCGGCCCACAATGCAGCTGATGAGGCCAGCTACCCCCGCCCCAAGCACCACCAGGTCATAGGTCCCGGAGGGCGGGTTTCTGCGAAGGGACGGGTCCACGTTCTCCTCACTTGCCCAAGCGCTTGAAAATAAAGAGTTAACCCTTTGGAACAAACAAACAACAACAGGCAAACCAAAAGTGTGAAAGGTCGATTTGCTTTTGGGCAAGTGAGTCTCCACGAGCCGTCGAACCTGTGGGTCTTCCAATGGCTCTGCGGTATACTCTGGGGCGATGGGGCGCTGGCTTGGCCGGCTCGGCTGAAAAGCAGACTGGACCTTTCCAGTGAGAGGCCCTGGCAGAGGCTCGCAAAGCTACCACGTGTGCTTGGTGGTGTTGCGTTTACATGTTGTCCTGTCTCACAGCTGCAAGTCTCCCCGGCAGCCTCTCAAAAAGCAACACCCTTGTTTGCTCAGCGTGGACAAGCCTGGACAACCCTGCCTAAGATCCCGGAGTACATTGTGGAAGCTGCGTGTGGCACTCCTCACAGGTTGCAGTGCAACATCAAACTTTTGCGTTGCCAGGCCTCAGCACTCTGGACATATCCGCTTGCTCCCCCTTTCACACACACACACACACAGTCGGGCTGAATCGCGTCCATGCCACCAGTGCAAACGTTCGTGCCGTTTTTGATGGTACCGTTCGGGGGGTTGCTTGAGAAGGAAGCCCACAGAAAAGCACAATGTTGGATGTCCCAATTTGGGTTTGCTTTTGTTTGAGGGCACCCCTTTTCAGCTTGGCCGAAAGGACATGAAAAGACCCCCACCATGTGTGAGGGTATGCCATCATACCCATTTAAAGCTTAGAGAACGACCCAAACTGCATGCTTCACTGCTGCTCAGTAGCGCTGCTGAATGGCCAGAGCGCAGCACAGCAGCCCGACGGTTGTGCGGCGCAAGATCATAGCAATGGGGATCCAAATGGCCGACTCTGGGTCAGTCTCTCTGACGCCGTGTTGACCCCATGGCCTTGCGCAAGAAGTTTGTGCTCATCCTATGATTGGTGCGACCATCTTGACGCAAACAGGCACACACACACACATGCACGCTTGCAATGTGCTCTGCATGGCCCGGCCAGCGATTAAAAAAAAAAGGTATACGCTATCAGGCCAAACCAACTGTCACTGGTTGCTGCCTCTGACTTGCTGCGCGGTGGTTCCCAATGGATCTTGCGTTTGGTTGGGTGTTGAGCCGTCACTTGCTGCAACCAAACAGTTCTTCAGCCCAATATGATGCCGTCTTCGCCGACACGCAGTTCGACGAGGAAACTCATGTTTGTCAGATCAAGCAGTTCCAATCGTGGCTACCTTGGACCCGCTGTTGCGGGCAGCAAGCGGCATTTGAAGATGTGGCTTGCTACGCAGCACTGATTTCAGTGCTGCCGTCGCTCTCCGGGCAGCTATCATCCAGGCACACATTCTTCTGCTCAGTCTCCTGAGCCAGGCAGGCAGGCAGGCAGGCAGGCAGGCTTCTGCCACCACCGGGATCAGTACCCTTCCCCTTTGATCTCCTAGCAATATGCAATCTCAAAAACAAGTTGTAATCTACCAAGGCGCCTTGTAGATGTCGTAGCCGCAAACCAGAAGTACCAGGGCTATTAGCAG